CGTTCACATCTTTTTTGCGTCAGATTCATACCCTAACCTAGGTTTATACCAGCTTATCCCCAACTATTCCTATTACTACCCTGTATTTACTATTCAACTGATTTCAATGCTGTAGAGTGCGGTTTCTGTTCAAATCACGGGAACGTCGCCAAGGAAACGCGGCTAGCACAAAGCAAATTATGTAGGCCCCCGTATGGGCGATGAAGCGAGCGGTTACGGGTGTATGTCGCTGACGATTCCGTTTGGCAAGGGTCCAATTACCTGCTACCGATACGAGACGTACCTAAGTGTGCACGTATGTGTGTACTTCCGGCGAGAAAAGCTCTCAAAGAGCGTAGACAAGCTCTCAAAGGTTTTTCAAAGGCTCTTGTTTACAAGAGACTAACCTTCCCCAAGTTGGAAGTTGGTTATTATTACTACATTATATTGATCAATCAAATACGGAGTGGTCCCATAGCAATTAGCGCACCGCCACCGACGCATGATCCAGGGCGTTTCCCGGATCGATATCCGCCCAGGCCACCAAATCTGCCTTACTTTTACAAGTTGCATTTATTCGATCAAACTGGTGAATTCCGCGACAGATCAGTCAAACTGTTTAGGGACAAACAGCTGGGGAATGAGACCTCGTATTAGTTGTAATCAAGGGACTACTATTCAGAAAATGGTGGAGAATTCCGAATAATGGAATCAAAAAGTAATTGGGTTCAGCAAAACTTCATTTTTACCGACTTTAATTACTCTTGCTTGAGTTAGAATAGCACCTGTCAGGTCAATCTTGGAACATAAAAAGGCTTACTTGATTTTGGTCTGAAGACATATATATATTCGAAATTTTCGCTCACAGACCCCTGAATTCCTCGTCAGATAAATACGAGTGTCGCGAGCATGGCGTATCCTGCAAGTGGATTGATAGAGTCATTCCTTTTCAGTCGCTTCTATACAAACGATATCGATTCATACTACTTTCTACTGGTTTCACCATCAGCATGGACTACGGAAACTACCATAATTTTAATTATCGTTTACTTTGGTACACCTTATTATCACTTTCAATCGGTGCAACTTCGATTGTTCACTTTAACCTTACGTCACTCATTTGAAAAAACCCGAACCTTCTCCTCATTAGTGAACAGAAGCCACGATACCGACCAGGTGTCCTTATTTGGAAGGTAAAACGGATCTCTGTAGCCTAGCGTTTTCTATGACAAGTTTTTTTTACTAAAATTCAACTTTATTTGTTTTGGTTCAGACCATCATTTTCTGAAAAGAACATCTGAAAAAACCCTCATAACTGAGATATTCCTATTTTAACCTATAAAGACATGTAAGTGCTTCGTCGACTTATTATAATACATCAGCCATCCACAAAACATCTTTTTTGAATTCTGATTTTGTCGCTCGATGAGCCATAGCTAAGAAATTTTGCCTAGAAGCTTATTGGTATTCCTTACCACCTCCATCTTATATGGCCAACTGTCAGACATTTTTGACTGGCTTGAATATGACGGGCAAGTATTAGTGGATGCAAATGAAGAAAAAAAGGCTCCCTACCCTTCCTCTTGGAAGATTCAGCTTTTTATCGTATTCCAGCCGGGATACATTTAAGTTCCCCGGCAAAATATGCCTCGACCAGCGCTACGAGAGTTCCTCCCTCTAGTGATGGATTTTCAAATGGGTGGTTCGACCCTTAAGAACAAAGAGTAGCATCACAGTCTCTGGGACCCCTCTTCAGTCACCTATAGGTAATACTAGATAACTCCCCTGGATCGTAAGTTGTTGATCGCCTCCCAGACAGACCAAAGACAAACTCTAGAAATGTGAACGAGGTATTAGCATTACGTGTTTACTTTACGGTAATTCTCTATGCAAACAGTAGAGGAGTTCTTGAAGGTCAGGTACAAGTTTTCGAGCGAGTACGTAGTTTTGGAATGTTGGTACCCCCCTCCCCACTTCTTCCCCTCCCCTCCACTCCCCTTCTTGTAGAGGTTTTCCAAGAAGAGAGAGTTGAATCCAACCTAGCATTCCGGCAATAGCTATTAAAGCACAGCAGGTGTTCAAGTGACACTGCACTTTGTGTTTGGTGGCTGTATATGCCTCGATAGGAACTTGAGCCACTTTTTTCCGAATGGTTAGGGAGTATACGAACTCCGCTTCGAACAAAATATGAATCTGAACAACAAGTGAATGGGAATAATGGCAATGTTGGAAATGCAAAAAAACATCTTTGTTTCTTTAACTACTCTTGATTATTCTTTTTGCCAGCAGTTTCTGCCAACGATGGCCCGAGGTTTTTTTTTTAATTAAGTGAATCTTTAATGCCAATTTTGGTTGTCATGAGAGCCAATTGGTGGAGTCTAGGCTGAAAAAGATTCCCGGACCCACTTAAGACCTAGAAACTGCAGAGATAATAAAAATAATCAAATAACTCTCTGCTTATAAATTTTATTGGAAAAATTCACATTGACATCACTACATCCACATGAAGGATATGTCGTTGGTGTTAATCGAACCCATCTTTAGGATAAGCCTCGCTTTCGACTTTTACTTATGTTGCCTATACAGTGACTTGCGGTGGTCAGCCGATGTACAAGTCGGCGCTTCTATCCTATCAGGCGAGTCTGGTACCAATTCACCGACCCGACGGGATGGAAGGCTCGGTTAGCTTGGGCGGATATCAATCCGGGATTTGTACAATGATTCTGCTTGCCTTATAGTACGCCCTTTTGCCACTTCACCACACTGGCAGTATAAGGCAGCGTAAACCTGTCGATGGAGTTCACCTTCATGAGCATCTAGGGATTATAACGGTGAAGTGTTAATCGCCCAAGTTACAACCTTCGTCCAGTTCATTCCCACTTCGGAAAGACATCAAAACTCACATTTCGAACGTGATTATGAAGAAACATTCAAGAACTCGAAATTAGCAGTAAAATCACTACAAAACTTGTGAATTCCGTCCTGGGAGGCGCCATATATTCGACTCACATTGAGATTCACAGAAATATTTGAAGGAGTATATGCCGTTAACAAAGGCTCCCTGTGGTCTGTAAGTGATTGATTCAGTAGGACTGCGCTCCCAGGCAAGCTGCCCGGTGCATGTTAACCTACTACCCGCTGGGTGGAATTGCAAAAGTTTCGATTCTGTAGAAAAGAGAAAATAGGGTGAGGCAACGACCTTACTTGCCACTTCTCCCATCACCTTCTGCATTCATACATGATGGGAACATTTTACTGAATGGTTGCCCCTGTGGAGGGCCCAAACCTTCTGTGCAACTTCGAATCACCTCCCAGACGGCTCTATTAATCCTTATCGGTCTTGTTTGTTGATTCATAGCACCGCACTGATAGAGCGGAATACAACGATGTCCTTGGAGTGACAGAATTACGTCGAGTCGCTCGTGAAACACCCGTTTCCGTCACAAAATCCCTTTTGCCGCAGAAAGGCCACTGACGACGACCCGCTGAGATCATCCGAGGTGTCGCCAGTGAAAGGAATGAATTTGCATGTGTGATCCTCGTCGTGAACGTCGTCGCCGTCGTTGCTGTTGTCCAGTCGTTCCGAACCCAAAACCAGCCTCGTCCGATTTGAGAATCGTGTCGTTCCACGGTTATATCACTGTTCGCCGCCGTCCAAATGGGATATATTCTGCCTCAATTCGGAGATTTACGAGATACAAATGAAAAACGACGTCCATAAGACATTTGGGCAGTGTCATAGTGGTCGTTGTGATGATGTCGATGTGAGATTCTTCTATGAGAAATATTGCTGCTGAAATGGGCTATTGATCACTCCTCTAGGGCCATTAGCCATTCAGGGCGACATACGGTGGCTGTGTATTTGGGGCTGCCCTCAAGTTTGACTATGCCATTGTAATAACCTTTCAAACTGAACACAGGAAATGCTCAGTTGGCTGAAGCACTTACCACATGAAAACAGCGCTTTCAACTTTCAGCAACGATGTCGTTTACCTCGCAACCAAGTAGCATTGGTAGCAATTTGCTATGAGGCAGAAGGAAAGGTCTTGCTCGACTGGCTGGGAGTCTAGCAACAGTCAGGAGACCCAGTTCCGATGCATTTCCCACCAGAGCTATCGACAGTCTCGAGGGAGGACTGGGTGTCCCTGGCTCTGAGGATATCCACCTGCCAATAATTAAAAATTTTCTTCAGGTATATCAAATTACATCATCGCTTCCACCACTACAATGAGCTGCTACCTAGCCCTTTTTCGTAGTTATTTGTAACTTTTCATTATACTAGAGCGTATGCAGTAGTGGTGGGTGGCATCGCTATCACCAGTGATCAAGTCTTTGTTCTTGATGGAGCTCAGTCTTGTGTGAAGTGGCGCTTACTGATTCTCCCGGAGCCGATAAGAGGTTGAAGGGCTAGATTTCTGAAGTTGGTCAAGAAAGCTCGAGATGCACCCCGCATTCGACTTCCGTTTAGGATCGTAGTAGTGTAATGAATGCGTATACGGCTTATACAATGTATAGCAAAGGTCAGCCAATGTACAAGTCCGTAGTTTTATCCTCCTACACGAGCCTGGTTCGAAATGAGTACCCCAAAGGAATGGAAGGTCTGATTAGTCCGGGCAGATCGGCCTGGCCTACACCCGAGACCATGTGTATTTTGATGGAGCGTCACTTGCCACAACCCGCCATCTTCCCATCCTGATTCAGTGCGAAAAAAGGGAAGGGTTGAAATGGACCAAAAGGTAGCCAGGCAAAACCTGTCGGCAGCTGTAGTTGTTGACAACTACCCGAAGCTAATAGGAGTACGACATTGCAAGTAAATTCTGTGTTGTAGAGCTCCCAAGCAAATCATGACGACGTCCCGTCTTTGAAACACAAACGCTCGACAAAAAGGCGAATATGTCGTTCAGTCTCTTACTGATGTAAGAAGTTACAAGGGCACCTTCAGGAACTGGTTATGCAAAAGTCTTGATGGCATGGGAACCCATCTGAGCTCTGTTGGGTTTGTAAGTAGTTGCCAACAACCAATGCGGTTGCAGAAAAATGCAAACGAGCTGTTTTTCGCCATGGTAAACCAGTTAGGCAAATTAGGGTGAGGTGTACTGTGAATGGCCTGACTTTTCACTAGACCTTGACAAGTACACTGTATTTCATCAAGCTCTTAGTTCTGTCGGATTTTGCTAGAGGGGTGGAAATGGTCTTGTGCCGAGTGGTGGCACACTATCCCACACGCATGGTCCGGGCAACGAACCCCGGATCGGCACTTACCAAGGCTGACAAAACCACCTTTTCTTACGGAAGTCAGCAAACTGCTTCCAGTTTCGTCTGGGAGGATAAAAGCAGGACCACCGGATGTCAATGTATAAGTCACCTACGCATTGAAAACACCACTACGATTCTGAATGGAAGTCGAATGCGGGGCCACATCCCTCAGACAAGGATTGATCAGCCCCGGGGAACTTTATTCTTTCATCATTTTTAACTAGGTCAGTATCCGTTGAAAAAGTCTAGTTCCTCGGCGGGTTCTCAATCACTACAACTACGCTTTGTTTGAGGCAAGCGCGTCTAACGGTCAGAGGTGTATAGGCCACTTGAGCGATACCGTTCTCAACGGAACACCATAAATGCAGCAGCAATTGAGGCGAATACCAGTTTTTCACACTGGCCACTGAGACTACTCGTCAACAGTGGGAATATACGGATGAGGAAATACAGTGGTTAGGAAGAAAATAGAGGATCGAATAAGGAATTGATACCGATCAGGCCAATAAAGCTCATTTCCCAAGACTTCGATCTGCTTCATTGAAAAAAATCAATTGTACAGGCAGATTGCAAAAGGTAAAGGCGTGACTGCTGAAAAATAGTGTCCGCTGCTGATTCATCATTTCATGAGTGCAAAAATTTAGTCCCTTAATCAGTTTCTAGATCCTGCGCTTTCCTAACTCCGCGTCACTTACAGTATGAACCGTTGATCGGAAAACTTACTGTCGGAAAGCATGAAATATGGACAAAGTTTGTGTAAAATAACAAGTTCTTGTTTTTATGAATTACAGATGTGGACGAGTTTTCGTGTTTCAGATTGCCATGGTGTAACATTTACCGGAGTCATCGTACCGCATGAAGGACAACCAAACTGCCATCTGGTCAGATGCCGAGATCATTGCCTTATGAGTGAACGTACCGAAAACACGGATGGGCTCATATCAGTGATCATCAACAGAACCCAGGTAATGGTAGGAAACTAGGAAAGTAGGAAATTGCTATGACTGCAGCACATAGCCAACTACTTGCACTCGATATGAGATATAGTCTAGACCCCTGCGCTCAGATAATGTTACCATGGTATAGTTGAATCAAAGGCACACTTCACGATCATTTGGGGTCATCCTTTTGAATTCAGAGAGAATAAGTATTAGTGGATCCGAGAATATTTGAAATTAGTCAAAATATGGTATATGTACGTGATTGCCAATGACGGAAGTGTACAAAAGGGGTATGTGAATAAGATGTCAGTCGCATAAATTTGCGTAGAGTTGGCCACAGTAAGCCATATCACCGGGAATTGCTTCTCATTGTCGACCTTGGTCGAGATTAGATGTTTAAACTTCAAAGATAGACATGTGCTCCAGTGTGAATAGTGCAGCCTCCACAACGCCAAGAAAACTCGTCCGTTTCAGGGTGCGACGGTGCCCATGTGACTACTCGGGGGCTATCGGTTCGTTTCAAAGGGAAATCCCACAAATCTTTTTTTTCGTGAATTGAGCCTCTAATGCCTCTGAGAGACATGGTTGAAGTGATGTTTCGAAAAACGATGAAGGCTATCCCTTAATTTGTCGTGTTTCTCCCGAAGGTGGTCAAGGGTCGCATCGAATTTGAGAGGGAGCCCGAATGCATGGCGCATCTTCAAGGGATTGCCCAAGAAGAGCTTTCCATCGCGTGCAAGTCGACCATGGGAACTTCGGTTGGGCATGTAAGGGGGTGAAAAGGATTCGATCCAGTATTCGATTTCGTCCTTTACAGGTAGTTCACCGCCATTTCACCTCACAGACGAACAATACGGCAAACTCCCATAAAACGAAAACCTCATGACAATGGGGACGACACCATTAACCTCGTTGTCCCTCAAGCTGTCCGTTCCCCATTCATAACTCGTCATGCGGTCTTAGCAGCAGACAAGTTCGTGTGTAATTGTGCGAATCTCTGTCACATAACCAACTGGTTACCTCCGTCCTCCTCACTAATGGACGTGTTTCCCAAGCATATCGACGTACTGAGAGCTAGTTCAAACTCTTCGACAGCTTTGGGGCTAACCGATCTCGGGACTCAGCTGTCGGACACTATGCTCCATTGACTTTGGCATTTAGGGTGCCTCTTGCAGCGCCGTTCCCGTGGAACGCTTGGCACTGGTCTCGCTTGATTAGTATAGTGTTGACATAGGCTGCTTGAAGTGTCCTTGTGAGACGGTTTCGGATATGGCTTGCCTCTAACAAGCCTGGGAAAGTGCAATCCAATAAGATGAAGGTAGGCTCCTAGGTTAGTTGATGTGGGAAGCACTTCCGGGGAGAAGAATATTTTTTGAAAGGTCGCGCAATACTTCTGCGGGAGAGGGAGGGGGTGGGAATGGGGGCTCATATATTCACCTATGGGCCTCTGGGACCCACTTAATCTACTCCTGCCTTCCGATTTACCCTAACCCCGAACGTTCTATCTAGCCGAGCATGAACCTGCCTATGATATTTCTTCGACTTGGTTGACCCAAGCAGGGCATTGAGTCGGGATTCCATACATCCCCCCCATACGGTAGCTAAGCCACTTATCATCCCCCTGGACCCAATTATTGAGACGGTTGGTAAAAATTGTTCACTAACGGATCAAACACATCTGCAATCCTCAGCTAGCGAAAAAGCTGGACATGGGAAAGCTCTTGCAACAGTTCACCAATTTTTCTCCCCGATATCTGAGCGCTACGCCTGAGTGAAGTTTGTTTTGTCCTAACGTAAGCTGCACGGCCCAAAAACAATGAGCACAACGGGCTCAGTGGTGCGCCAAGCTGGGGACTGATCCTTGATTCCCGTGAAGAGATGATCCTTTTTTTGTGTGGAGGTCTTTGGAAGGGAGCAATTGTGCGGTCGTGACAGCTTTTGCCCAATCCATCGAGAGTTTCCTCTTGAGTAAACATTGTCCAACGAGCCGATCGGACTCGTGGGATTACATCTCGCCCGCACAGCCGGGTACAAGAGTGTCTCTGACCGGTTTTAAGGCTTACTCCAGTCAAATCAGAGCTTGCTTCCGCCAGTTTAGCTGCTCAAGATTCTCAGTTAATCTTGAAGAAGCATCATCGGCGAACAGGGAAAGGGGACAATTCCAACTGCAGTTGATTCCTGACCATTGGAACTATCCAGGCTCAGAACCTCTTGCTTAGCAAGCGCCGATCAGCCTGAGTGTTGATGTCTACCCAGGTGCCTCCCTCTCCTGACGAGAGCCACATTTTTAGAAAAATGGAAGCTGAAGTAGGGAAAAGAAACTTTATACTCT